ATTGCTGGCGGAAGTAGTCAAGGCGGAACGTCCCGATCTGGAGGAGTTGAAAGCCGATCTTACAAAGCAACAGAATGACTTTAAGATAATGCTGAAGAAACTGGAGGATGATCTTCTGTCGCGCCTTTCATCGGCGGGTGAGAATATTTTAGGTGACACAGCGTTGGTTGAGAACCTGGAGACTACGAAGAGCACAGCCTCGGAGATCGAGCAAAAGGTGGCAGAGGCGAAGATAACATCAAAGGAGATCGACAAAGCCCGCGAATACTACAGACCGGCGGCGGCCAGAGCCAGTTTGCTATATTTCATTCTGAACGAACTTAACACTATCAATCCGATTTATCAGTTTTCACTGAAGGTGGGTTACTATACGATTTCAATAAGGATCATATAAATTGAAAACAATACCTATATCTCCAGGCTTTTAGTGTAGTGTTCCAAAAGGCCATAGCCAAGGCTGAACCGGGCGATACTTTGGATTTGCGTGTGTCCAATCTGATTGATTGTATTACGTATTCGGTCTTTCAGTACACTTCGCGTGGTCTTTTCGAATGCGACAAGCTGATCTTCGCCTCGCAAATGACATTTCAGGTGAGTTAAAACCCTTTACCATTAAAGCTTTATTTTATAATTTCTAATCCTCAATTAGATTCTACTTATGAACGAGGAGGTTACATCGGCGGAACTGGACTTCTTGCTCCGCTTCCCGATCAAGCCACATGTGACAAGTCCTGTGGACTTTCTGACCAATCAATCGTGGGGCGGAATATGCAGTCTAGCGTCCAAAGATGAATTCAGGAATTTGGACCGCGATATCGAAACCTCCTCGAAACGCTGGAAGAAACTGGTTGAGTCAGAACTGCCGGAAAAGGAGAAGTTTCCGCAGGAATGGAAAAATAAAACAGCCCTCCAAAGACTTTGCATGATCAGGGCCTTGAGGCCTGATCGAATGACATACGCTTTAGCGTGAGTAAATATTTAAAATATTTATTTATTTTTAGCTTTCATTTACTTAATACATTTTAAAATAGCGACTTTATTGAAGAGAAACTTGGATCCAAATATGTGGAAAGTCGTGCAATGGAGTTCGCCAAATCGTACGAGGAGGCCAGTCCCTCCACACCAATATTCTTCATCCTTTCGCCAGGTGTAAATCCCCTCAAGGATGTAGAGGCGTTGGGCAAACAAATGGGCTTTAGCATGGATCTGGGTAATTTCCATAATGTGTCTTTGGGACAGGGCCAGGAAGCCATTGCAGAGGCCGCCATGGACACGGCGGCTAAGCATGGTCATTGGGTGGTGCTGCAGAATATACATCTGGTGAGGAAATGGTTGCCAGTGCTGGAGAAGAAGCTGGAGTACTATGCAGAGGACTCGCATCCGGACTATCGCATGTTTTTGAGCGCCGAGCCAGCATCAACACCTTCGGCTCACATAATACCACAGGTATAATATTAGTATTTGGTAATTTTCAAGAATAATTCTCAGTTTGATTCCATTCATTTCAGGGCATCTTGGAATCATCGATTAAGATCACCAATGAACCTCCAACTGGAATGCTGGCGAATCTTCACAAAGCGTTAGATAATTTCACTCAGGAAACGCTGGAGATGTCGGGCAAAGAGGCTGAGTTCAAGGCCATTCTGTTCTCCCTCTGCTATTTCCATGCCGTTGTCGCAGAACGCCGAAAGTTTGGTCCCCAAGGGTGGAACAAGATATATCCTTTCAATGTGGGCGATCTTAACATCAGTGTGTCGGTGTTATATAACTATCTGGAGGCCAACGCCAAGGTCCCGTGGGAGGATTTGCGCTACCTTTTCGGTGAGATCATGTACGGGGGTCATATTACGGATGACTGGGATCGTAGACTTTGCATCACCTACCTGGAGGAGTATATGCAGCCGGACTTGGTCGACGGTGAGCTCTTCCTGGCGCCCTCGTTCCCAGCTCCTCCCAACACCGACTACCAGGGATACCACACCTACGTCGATGAAATGATGCCGGCTGAGTCGCCATATTTATACGGATTACACCCTAATGCGGAGATTGGATTCCTCACTACCCGAGCGGAGAACATTTTCCGCACAGTTTTTGAAATGCAGCCACGTGACGCTGGAGCCGGAGGTGGTGCAACGGTTACGCGCGAGGACAAGGTTCAAACAGATCGTCGATGAGATTATCGAGAAGCTGCCGGAGGAGTTCAACATGGTCGAGATTATGAACAAGGTGGAGGAGCGCACGCCGTATGTGATAGTGGCCTTTCAGGAGTGTGAGCGCATGAACTTCCTTACCAGCGAGATGAAGCGCAGCCTGAAGGAGTTGGACTTGGGCTTAAAGGGTGAATTGACCATTACGTCGGACATGGAGGTGCTGGAGAATTCACTGTTTTTGGATCAAGTACCGCCCATTTGGACGCAACGTGCGTATCCTTCGCTCTTGGGTCTCAACAATTGGTTCATCGATCTGTGCCTGCGTCTGCGCGAACTGGAAACCTGGTCCACTGATTTTGTGGTGAGTTATCCAAAAAACATACTGGATTAGCAGGTCTCTTAAAATCCTTTTCTATAGTTACCCTCTTGCGTCTGGCTGGCTGGATTCTTTAACCCGCAATCCCTGCTTACGGCTATTATGCAGAGTACTGCGCGTAGGAATGATTTACCGCTGGACAAGATGTGCCTCCAATGTGACGTCACCAAGAAGCAGAAGGAGGAATTTACGTGAGTATCGTTCTCATTGACACGCAATTCCCAATTGACTTTTGAGCTGACCTTTTCCCGGGAATGTTTACACTTCCATTAGCAACCGATGCTCTTCATCAATCTCAGATTCGCGACTGTCACAGATTCCAAGAATAGTTAAATAGTTAAATTAATAGGTTTGTTTATTTTTATGGAGGGAAACATAAGGTTAAAACATATAATATAAAAACGGTTTACGGCTTTATTACTTTTAACCATGAAATTTATTTCAAAGACGTAGATCTTTGAACAATCTCTCAAGCGTTTTTCGGAATGATAATCCCATTCCATTTTCATTCCCTGGTTCTATCTGCCTAACTCCGGCGCATAATGTAATGTTGTGACATGTAATCATTGCTTCGGAGCTAAAAAAAAAAAAAAACCGAACTGCGGCCAATGGTCAGCGACCGGCTTGGAGTGGGTCTATAAATAGCCACAATGCTATTTCATAAGAGCTAATTTTAAACCAGCACTGGAATATAAATATGTGAGACTTATTAATAGACCGTAATTTACAATTGTCTATTTACTCGATGGGCAATGGGCTGATGAGCTGATTGCTTATTAAGTGGCGCCCCGCCAGCCACGTTTCTCATGGCGACGTTGCCGGGCAAACAATGGAGTAACTCGGCTCCGGCGCGTCGTTGTCGTCGGTATTAATGTGTACTTTTTGCATCCGAGATTAGAATCGACACCCGCCCCTCTAATTGACTTTGGGCTATGGCTATGACTATAACTATGAAGGCTATTGCTATCACAATCGATATCTGAAACGATCTTGTTAATTACAGGACGGCACCGCGCGACGGTTGCTGCGTGCATGGGATCTTCATGGAGGGCGCCAGGTGGGACATCCAACAGGGAATCATCATGGAGTCGCGCCTCAAAGAGCTCTATCCCTCGATGCCGGTGATCAATATTCGGGTGAGTTTTTGTAATGCTAATCGATGGAAATGCAAAAATCAGCGAATCGAGAACGGATCTGTGGCGTCTCAATGCTGGCGCATGTTGGCATAAATTCGAAAACTAGATTCCACTCTATCATTCCACTTAATGCGATTCCGATTTCATATAACCTCGTCTATGTACTGCAGGCAATCACCCAAGATAAGCAAGATCTGCGGAACATGTACGAGTGCCCGGTCTACAAGACCCGCACTCGAGGCCCCACCACCTATGTGTCCAACTTGAATCTGAAGACCAAAGACAAGCCTGGCAAATGGATTCTCGCCGGCGTAGCTCTGCTCTTGCAAACCTAATTTAGATGCATAATCTTAGACTTATTTAATTTACTATTTAATCTACATAACTTAGTGCCTTCAGCTAATTTCGTAGAAGTTTTCTAGTCATTAAATAGTTCACCACTTAGGAAGACATTTCTTTAGAACAATAATAGTAATAAGCTAGACCAATGTACCAAGTTTTATCGTAGACTTCAAGTTTGACTTTCAATTTCTTCCTTTTGTAGTGCACAATTTTTATAATAAAACACCTCCTAAGTAGACTTGCCTTAGGCGCACTAGCATAAAACTGAAAAGAAAAGCCTGGACTTGTTTTGGCTGGATTTGGGGATTCATTGTGGTAAACTGATAATTTAAATAGGTAAGATTATTTGTAATTCTTTTGCCAGTGACTTCATTTGTTTACCCTGCAATTGTTTACACTTGGTAGGTAATACCCAATGGAAATCACCGCCAATTGATAATATTCTTCGTTACTAAATGAGTTGTGAGATAATCGTGTGACGACGCAGCTGATAAGTCTGAAAATTCCAAAAATCTTTAAGAAAATGATAAATTAAAAGCGTCGCGTATCCATAAATAACATTTTTATCTTTGGGGAAGAATCATCAAAGAACATTCATAGACGTTGCTGAGTGGAGTGAACTCGTGGCCGTCGCAAACTGAAAACTTAAACAATTTTCATATTTTTTGCCCTGCTTTTTTATTTATTTTGTATTTTGTATTTCGACCTGACTCTCCCGCTCTATAGCTCATAGCTCTCTGATTCTGATAAGCGTGTGCCGAGTCGTTTCGGTGATGCTGACGAAATTCTCAAAGACTTTTGTAGCATCCCGATCATCTCAGTATTGAGCGGTACGTGAACCAATTGACAGCGGTCGACGATGAGGAGGAGACATTTTAGTGAATGCATAAATACATGAATAATTCAAACTCAAAACCCAAAAGGCAACAACAAGTTGGGCCACGACAACGTGACCTGCCTGTAGAGTTATCGATCAAACGGCCGACCCGACCGATCGACCGAATCCACCGATCTACCCATCCGATTTCGGTGCCCTGCCCCGTTTCATCTGGCATATTCCAGTCCAGCTAACATCAACAGCAGCCGCAGAAACAATAACCAATACCAAAAACCCAATACCCAATGCTCAAGGAAAAAACACAATAAAACAATCAGAAATCAACTACAGGCGAAATGTGCGGAGAAACAAAAAGAAAATTGAAGACGACGACACGAGCGTAAATCTTTTTAGCATGAAAAAATTCTATAAAACTAACAGGCACTGTGTGGTCGGACATCATTCGTGCGCTACGACGGCAGACGACAGCCGCAGATACAGATACCGATACGGATACAGATACAGATACAGAGATACATATAGCCGGTCGGACGGACAGGCCCTGATTGATTGATTGCCGAACCCGGACCCCAACTCCTGCCCAAAAATCAAAATCACATCAAAAACCACATAGCCAAACCGAAAACCAAACCCAAACCCAGACTCGCGACTCGAAACTGAAATTGAAAATCAAAGTGCTCTCTCTTCTCTCTGCAGACAAGTATCTGCAACAGCATCTAAACGTATCCCAGTATCCATATCTAACAGCGGTCAGCATCCCAATTCCAATTCCAATCCCAATCCCAGCGGACAACGTCCAGCCATCAGCCATCAATCAGTCAAACCGAGTCACCGCGTCAGTTAGTCAATTCAATCGACTAGCCCACTCGACTTCTGCTTCAGGCTGGAGGATATCTTCCATTGTCGGCGCTTTAGTTTCAGTTGGCATTTGGACGCGTGCTGTGCGGCCTCGCCGATAGAGAGAGTCGGATCGGAACGGACCGGAATATACAGTTCTCAGTTGTCAGTTCAAAACTCTGAATCAGAATCGAAATCGTGCGCGAATTAATCTACAGCGTATCAAGAACCAAAACAGTGGCGAACACACGTGTCTGAAGTTCAGTGACAAGCCCCAAATCAGGCGACTATATATTCCGTTAATATATATATATATATATATATATATACAGAAAATCGTTAAACACTTTTAATCAACTAGAAACCAAGCGCAGGCACGGCATAATTAATTCGTCTGACCCGGAAAGTTCATTAAAAGAAAAGCAAATACGTTTGTGCAAAGTGTGCTCCATCTCTCCATCTATAAGGTGCAAAATACTTCAGTAAATCGGAAGTCTTAAATAACTACTAGCAACATGAAGCTGTCTGCAGTATTGTTGGCATGTAAGTACGATATTTTTTTAATAATTGAATCCAATAACAGTGGGAACGGAGTTCTGAAGTTACCAACTAAAACTTTGTCCATCCATTTAATTTCATGTGAAAAGAACGTATATTAAGTCATTAAGGCTGATTGCTTTTCTGGTGAATTCTTTGATTTTTAATTCGGAGAAAAATTTCAAATATTTCTATGTTAAATAAACAAGAACTTTATGGTCCATTTTCATAGAAAATTGCATAAACTAAATGAATCTAAGTTTGTTGCTTGTTAAATACATACATATGGGGTCAAGGCTGGTCAGAATATTTCTATAACATTGGAATTGAAATTTTATTAATATCAATAAAAATTGATGAAATAAATTTAGATTGTATAGTACTACGATTATCTTTGAAACGTTTAAATCTCAAGGTTTATTGAACAACTTTTCGGGTTTTCCCATAGGAAGGAAGTCTCAAATAGTTTTTGTTAAATAAATTTTAAAAATTTTAAATAGAAAATTACTGGAATTTTTAAACCAACTGCATTGTAAAATAATCTATTTCAACTAATATTTTTATATATAAACATGTGGCATATTGCTGACTCATTAAGGCTGACTCAGATAAGAGTCCTCTGCGTCAAAACAGCAAGAATGTGACCCATTAAAATGGTGACCCTTTATAAACGGGAAAAATCTTGAAATATCTTAATCCTAGCGAAAAGTTATTTCCGAATACTTTATTTATCTGCAATCGCAACAATTTATGAATGGAAAATTTTTTACTTGGATTGAGTCATTAGGTTAGACACCACAGAAACGCAGTTCCGCGGATTTGGTTTCATTGCGTGCCGACATGGCTAATTAGACATGCAGCGCTAAATCCCGATTCCAAGTGCTGGGGACGGGGAATCACTTCCCCCCGCCATCGAAATCACGGAATCTCGTTGGCATTGCCAGACGCTCTGGCGTCGCGGTGGATCGATGGGCGTTCGTTGGCATTGTTGGTGGGGATGTTGATGTGGGTGATATCATGGGTGATGGGTTGATCAGGGCACTTTGTATGCGGGTCTAGTCGATGGGTAGTGATTCTTTTTGCACGCCTCCTGCTTAACTAATTGGGTGTGATGTCTTCGTCTATTTATAGTGGCGCTGTTTGCCTTCTCCCTGGTCCAGTGCCTCGGCCTGCCCGATCCCAGTGCCAAGTGCGTCATGGATTGCGACACGCAGGAGTACAAACATATTTGTGCTGCGGACGACAAGGGCTCCACCAAGACCTATCGCAATCTGTGCGTGATGAAGACGGAGAATTGCCTGCAGAATGCAAGTGAGTATAGAAATCATGATAGTTACCATAAATATTCCCATTACAAATGTTTGCAATTTTATTACATTTCCTTAATAAAACCCATTTTACCGTTACTTATTTAGACTTTCAAAAGATCAGCGACAAGGAGTGCCCGTAGATAGAGCTATGAATTGATTGATCAGTAGTCCAGCAGAAATAACTTAATCATGGAGGAGAACGAGTGGACGCGGCTTGGCATTCCGGAGGACTCTTCTTTCTCGCGTGGTATTTGTGTGTGATATTTTTAAGTTGTACTTCAGCGGAATACAGAACACGCCCAGAACGTAATGCATAATGATAATGTATTCTAAAATTATTAATAATAAATATTAAATAAAGTAATCGTAGCACGCAAAGTTAATGCTTAGTTCCTTGACCATCACAATGTTGACGAGACGTAATAAGCGATGATTTCATTTCCGCTTTACCCCAACGAACAGCCAACCCGTCGTCTATATATATATTAATAAACCCTGATCTTCTAATCTATGCCCTCTATTGCTCGGATTGGAATTAAGTCATCAGACAGTTTTAGTACATCGAATCTTGATAGTCTAGGCCTCACAAGCACGGTTTCCTTATCTTATATTACAGATGTTCCTTTTTTGTTATTTTTACCAATTTAAAAAAACCCAACCAAATCGCTAAATTTAGTCAACAACGTAGTTTTGAGGCTTTGCGCCATTTCAACAGTAACTGTAATTTTAACAAAGCATTTGATCATATTTAGACATTGAGATTTAAAGTGGTTAATCTTATATACATATATTTTGGTGGGTCGGATTTAGAACGAACTCGGTCATTTCCAAATTAACAAGAGACTTTCTGATAAAAAGTATTCATTGTCAAAATTTTAAATATTTAACTTGGCCAAAATTACAATTTTGTTATACAAAATTTCGTAGTGCCTTTTATTTGATAGTATTAGGGAATCTTTATTGTAAAAATTCGAAAAATTATCCATTTTGATGCGGACAAAAATGTTTTTAGATAAGGTTTTGTCGATATTTTATATCGACTTCTCTAAATCTAAATTTTTCAAGATTTCTCAGCCGGTGAAGATTAATAATAGATGACTGTAAAGGAACTATTACTGAAACCCTCACTGGTTTCTTGGTAAAGTCTTTGTTGTTCTTTTGGAAACGAGCTTTTTTAGTTTCTTGAAATAAGACCCATCCTAGTAATACATCAATATTTTCAATACTTTAAATTTTAAAGTTTAAAACTTCTGCAGTCGCAGTTCAACTTGTAGGGCTATGCAGGCTCGACGCTCCTCCTTTAGCTCCATGCCCAGCATATTCTTCTTGTGCTCCAGCAGCGCATTTTCGCGTGTATAATGCTCGATAATGCGCTCATAGTCAGACTCAGGCGGTGCCTGTGATCCGACTGCTAATGCAGCCATTTGGCTATTAATTGACTGCTGCTCGTATAACTGCTTGAGCCTGTGAACTTCGTTGCGTTCGGAGACGATGCGGGCCTTTAGTTCGTTCTGCCACTCCATCAGCTCGTCGTATTCGATTTGAAGCCGCAGCAAATTCTCGCGGTGCGGATTCGATTTGGGCAATAAAATGAAGCCTGTACCGGGATCAATAGAAAAATGTATTAGAGCATCCTTGGTGGGACGCTCTTCTGTTTTTGGCTCCTCAAGGGTAATACTGTTGCTAGTGGATGCGGTCGGGGCGAGAGTTGCGTTCGAATCCGTGGTATCCTCACTTGCGATCGTTGGCGGAGCACTGCTGCTTGTGTCCAATTCATCCACGGACTTTTCCTGTTTCTTCTCAAAGGTACGTAACTTTCTCTTGAGTTGTGTAATTATACGCTGTACTTCCCAAAGTTGTTCCTCGCGTTTCTTGGTAATGAAACCTGCGTTCATCTCGCTGTGAATCTGATTCAGGAGGCTGTCCTGCTTGCGCAACTCCGTCTGGATGTCCTCCGGTGTATCCGGAAGCTTTGGGCTGGCTGATGTGAGCGGGGGGACATACCTAAAAGATGACAAGTTAGAAAGGCGATAACAGTGTTTATGTATGTGCTTTTATGCCTTATTAGGAAGCTGGCGAAACGCGTTAAACGCTTCTGTTTGCGGGGTATTGTGCTCATTCTTGACGGAAAAATAAACGACTAAATTACGCGAGTTTTACGGCTAGATCTTATCTACAACTACCAGTGATGGGAATTATCTGAGTGCTAATTGTACTTCTTAGGTTCATTCGTAATAGAAATTTGTAGTTTCTATCATTAAATTAGGAAAATATATAGAGTGGGTGGTACAAGGTGTCTTTCAATGGAAAATAAATTAGAAAGTAACTACTATTTCGCCAAGCATTGCTTAAAAAAGTTACCAAACAAAAAAGAATTGAATATTTCCCACCACTGACATCAGGCTAGCCGGTGTTTGCTCACCTAATCAGCTTGACATCCGCGAACAAATTGTTGCAGTGGCAGAGTAGGGCCACCATTAGTCGGTGTGACATCTGAAGTGTCGGACTGAGCAGCATGGCCAGCGACTGAGCGTTGAGCTTATTGTGCCTTTCCTGCTGGATCACCGCGTCGAAATGGAGCAGTACCCACGCCAACAGAGTGCGGTTACACTTGGGCAATTGCTCGAGCAGCTGCTGCAGCTCTGCCTGCTGCGTGGTGACCTTTGGATGGGAGGCCACTTCCTCGAAGCGAGCCACCAGATCGGTGGTCAGCAGAGGCTCCGGTAGTTCGCGCAGGAAGAGCTTCAACAGACTGCAGGCGGTGGGCAGATTGAGCTCATCGACGGCGGAGTCGTGCTCGCGGTTGTTGTACAACCGCTTATAGTGCATCAGACGCGTCTTGATGGGCTCAATCTTGTATATCTGCTCGCACTTCAGGTGATCCTGCAGAAAGTCGATGCAGTCGCGCACAACCAAAGGTATATCCACGCCGTCGTGGCAGCGGGACCGCTCGGTTGCCAGGCTTACGGACACCCCAAAGACAGGGTATCCGAGGGCCAGCACCTCCTCCGCGGCGGAGGCATCATCCTGCTGCTGCGACAGCTGCTTGCTCTTCTTGTCCTTTTTGTCTTTCTTGTCTGCCTTTTTGTCTTTCTCCTTGCGCTTATCCTCTTTATCTTTTTTCTTGAGATCATCACGCTCCTTGTCCTTTTCTTTGTCTCGCTCCTTCTCCTTGGCCTTGTGGGACGGACCAGCCTCTTCGTCGGCGTGCTTGGAATCCTTATCGGACTTGTCACGCGATTTTTCGCGTTTCTCCTTGCTCTTGGAGCTAGTAAATTTAAAGGTTTTTGATTTTTTCGACTTTGAAGGACTCCTGGGGGCACATAAAATAGGGATTACTTATGTCTGAATCAGGTGACTTTTTCTTAGGTCTCAACGAACTTGGTATCCAGCTCTTCCTCAGGCGAGCTCTCGCCCTCCAGCGCGGCGTATCCACGATCTTTGCCCTTCTCTTTTTTGTCCTTGCGTCGTCCGATCAACAGGTCCTTCTTGCTGTGCTCGTGTTCCTCGCTGACTGCAAAGGGATTTTTGGGCTTCATTGATTTTTCACCATTTCTACGCCCACGATTTTTCATTTTTAACTTACAGTCACTTTCCTCCTTGCTCTTCTTGGACTTGGCATCCGACGCCTCCGAAGCATACAGCCCGGGAAACTCCTTCTCCTCGGGACTGTCGAAATCCATGACAGTAAATCACTTCCCCGACAGTAAATAAATAAATAATTTCCGTAAACAATTTGCGTAAACAACAACAAATGCAACAAATAATCGATTAATGAACAATCGAAAACACGGTTGCTTGCCAGCACCGTTGTGGGAGTACAGTGGCGCCATTATGTCATGTAGAAAAAATGTATTTATGGTTATTAACACTTTGTATTTTTTTGTTTTAATTTTACATTTTACATTTGTATTTGACATGTTAATAACATCTTACACAAACTTTTTAGATCATCTTTTAAATAGGAACTCACAATGTTAACGTTTCTAAAATATATGTAGTTACCAGAGAACGGCAAGGGTACACCCATACAATGAGTGCACTCGAATCATATGTGCCTTTTCGGGACTCAGAGTGTGATCGGCACCCTAAAATAAGGGTGAGTGTCTTGCACAGCACATTTTGAATGTGCACAAATCGGATTGTGCGTTATGAGTGTTTGCGTTTTTGACACCCGCTCAATTTTAGGCACATGAGTCTAATGCACAGACACCCTAAACACTCATAGCAAATGAAGGAGTGTCTGAGACACCCATGATTTTTGGGAAAGTGAGTCGGGTGTCTTGAAAGTGAGTCGAGTGTCTCGAGATGAGTCGAGTGTCTCGAGATGAGTCGTGTGTCTTGAAATGATTCGGGTGTTTCGGGTGTCTTCAACTGATCTGTATGTTTCGGGTGTCTTCAGCTGTATTGCATGAGCAGGTCATTGAGGGTTGACCGAATAATTTTACATGAAAGGAAGGAAGGAAATCCCAATAATGGTCCCTTAAAACAGGCCAAATATTATGGGATTTTCCGTGCCAGGTTATCTACCTGCTATTCGCAGTGAAATTGACTTATGATCTGTATTCTTATATGTATTCTTGATGCAATGCCAGTTTTTTTTTTTTTGCGTTTTTTAAGACTTTGTCATTGAAGATTAATTACTTGTAATGATTACAAACTCTTATTGTCTAATATTAGTTACTGAAGACGGCAATAATTTTTATTATTACAAATACACTTTTCTAAGATTAAAATGAATCCAAACGGAAAACAAATTATTTTCTGATTTTTAAGGGGCTATATTTATGTTTAATTATTGGGATTTCCTTCCTTCCTTTCATGTAAAATTATTCGGTCAACCCTCAATGACCTGCTCATGCAATACAGCTGAAGACACCCGAAACATACAGATCAGTTGAAGACACCCGAAACACCCGAATCATTTCAAGACACACGACTCATCTCGAGACACTCGACTCATCTCGAGACACTCGACTCACTTTCGACACCCGACTCACTTTCCCAAAAATCATGGGTGTCTCAGACACTCGCTTCATTTGCTATGAGTGTTTAGGGTGTCTGTGCATTAGACTCATGTGCCTAAAATTGAGGGGTGTCAAAACGCAAACACCCAAAACGCACAAACCGATCTGTGCACTGTGTGTGCTCTTTTGTTTCTGTTCATGAGTGCGGCACACACTCGAAATTTATGAGTGTGATTCGGGTGCCGAAAAAAGACACCCTTGACGTTCTCTGGTAGTTACTATATTCATATAATTGATAAAAAATTAAAATAGTCAGTTGAATAAAGTATTATTATTATTATTATTTCCAGTAAGAAACTGGTTTTTTTTTTAACAGAGAAGACAAAACTTTCAACCGTTTCAAATTTTGCTTTGTTTTTTTTATTTATTTTAAACTTTCAATTCATTTACAATGTAAGCGAAGATCATAAATATATATTAATGTGATAAAAGCTATAACAAATATAATAATTTTTTTCTATTCCCATATGGTAAAAGTAATTTTATTTTTTTGACTGTTTGCCATATTTATAAACGTTCATAATACCGACAAAGGTCTATTTGTTTTTCATGAGCACATGTTTATAGGTGGCAACTTTTAATATTCTAAAAACAATTAGATTAATCAGCTTAATTGCCCCGCAATCAATCGGTTCCGCGCTGCATTGCTTATCGGTCAGTTGGCAACTAGAGTAAAATCGCATCCAGAACCGGCAAGCCAAACAAATGCAGATAGTGTGCGTTTATGCGGCTGATGCAATTCCGTATGGGGGATTGCAGCATCTCAAAAATGTTCCAAGGATTGGCCTACGGCAACTATAAGCTGCCCATCAGCAACTGCGTGCCGTTGAAAGCCAAGGCTAGTGGCGTACCCGTCGTAGTTGTGGTAAAGTTTCCGCTAATTGCTCTATTTGACTGACAGACACTGCCCGAATAGGCCATAGCCAGTCCAGCAATCAGGGTCAGCAGGAAGGCCAATCCCAGAACCCCACAACTGAGGCGCCGCACATTCTGCCACCAGGGATCCAGAGCGAAGGGCAGCAATTCCTCCAGCGTCAAACCGTAGGAATATCTGCGAAAGAAGTGGGGTGAAGGCACTATGTAACGAAGTTATTTTTTAATGAAATGCGACGGAAAGCGTTTACTCAGCAGTTGTGAAAATGGGCTCATAATCCTTTGGATCCTTCCGCATCCCCGGCACAACAATGATGTGCTGTTGCTGCCGCTGCTGATGTCCTTGTTGCGATGTTGCCAGCAGCGCTGTTTTCTCATTGCAGGACATATTTGCCTTGGGATAACCAGTGTTTGTTAAGAATAAGGGTATGTTGGTTCTGTAGGCAGGATGGAATATGCTTTTTAACTTGTATTTACAAAGTAAAATAGTTTGTATAATATTTATAAATTGTATTATATTAGGAATATTAAGACCTTTTTAGTTAATAAAATTCTCTACACTTCTTGTTATTTTTTATTAATTATATATTACATTTATTATTAATATTTATATTATATTATTAAAAAGAACATATGGAAAAGGAAAGCATTGTGGCAAATAATTATCAATGTTTGGAATCCACCAAAAAAAATGCTGACATACATTTACAGCCATAAATCATATTTAATATACATTTAATCTTCTTGGAATAAGGAAAAGGAAGCCAGTTGTTGATTCAATATTAAAGTTAATTAATTAATGAAAACTGAAATTTTGCCATTTGAATTGTTAAATAGAGAGCACTATGTTTTAGTATTTAAGAAGAGGGTACTTAAAATTCGTAGCTCTTAGCCATTTAGCCTTCTTACTTGTCTGTCTCTCGGGAAGGTCTGTGGGACTACAAACACTCCAAAACCGTGCAGCTAGTGCAATTCAGAGGGAATTGCTCCGTGGAGAACTGGCGGACAACTGGTGACTGGGTTTCGTTTTGTCGCAACTTTAATTAGCTTGCAGCTGGGGTGGTCTCATCGCTTTATTGCTATGGCTGTTTGCCTTTGTGCTCGGATTCCTGTAAACAACTTTATCTCCGTAGCTCTTGGCGTTGTCTCTCCGCTGCTCATCTTCCGCAACCGGCGGTTGGTCTTATCTTCCGACAGCTTTTTTGGGGCATTGCATAATGTAGAGTCTCCCCCAGTTTCCCATAGCGATAAGTGCCCGGCTTCAGGGAAGTAAGATCACAGTTTAAGATCGATCGGTTTAATGTATTAGTTTATTGGGTTTCCTTTTTGGTAAACATGCACGGAATACATATATACGTATGCAGCACTGCTGAGAGATGCCAGTAACTCTAGGCCCTAGGCTCTATTCGATTCGATTATGTAAAACGGTAAGCTTTCGTCTAGAGATCGATAGATCTGTAGATCCTGGCTAGCGTTGCGAGTACGAGTATGTTCTCTTAGTGAGTACAAGTATATTCAAATGTGTTGCATTCGTTCGGGTATTTTCTTATAGCGTATTGAAGTGAGAAGAGTTACGGTAAGTGAGATCGATAGATCTTCACCCCAAGCATATGCTACACGAAACTACATATGTGGTATTCGATCTATTCGATTATTTGCATACTTTATCGGCTTAGTTTTTGAATACATTTTAAATGGGTCTCTGGATGTACGAGTATATGTTTTGTAGTTGCTTAGGGTTTTTCTCTCTTTTTTTTGTTTGGGTAAAATCACATTCATAAGTATACATTTAAAAATGCAGGTATAATTTGAATTCGAAAAAACACTTTAACAAACAGCAAATGATTAATATTGTACAATACACATACATATTAACTCTTTGGTTTGCCAATCAAACATACAGATTCGAATCCTATCAACTATCGTACATCTATGGAACTCAAATTGATTAAACCAATAGAAAATTAAAAGAAACCATAGGGTAAATAAGACTTAAGTGGAACTAATAAGTTTGTAAAGTAACCTGCTCACGGTTTTATCCAGATACGCGTTCTACTCCTAGAAGTACCTACATCCTAAGTCGGAAGCACTTAAATCGTTTTATTTGCCTTTGCCATTAAAGATAATCGTCTATGGGTAATTTGTCTGTATGTCTTGATGCATATATAAAGATATATCTATATATCTGTATCGTATTGTTACATTCACTACTCCTCGGCACTTCTATTCCTACCCGCCTCTGTAATATATTGATTTCTTTGCCATGGATATCTTACCCTGACCCCTGGTTGATTTCCTTGAATCGTCTGTTAACTGCAGTAATATATATCTCGATCTATTGCAAACTTATCGTCTTAATTTCGATTCAATAAACGAATGAAATGAAAAGGCATGATTGAAATAAATTAAAAAGAAATTTAATCATAATATCTATCAGTAAACGTTGACAATATAACTTAATACATTATTTATTCATGTTTGTATATTTATTAAATCGTTTCATAGTTCGTATATGTATGCGTTAATTAATTATCAATTACGACTAAATTTGGCGCAGTTTTCTCAACGAGTTCCCCGTACAATTGTGTGACCCCAAATATATATATAATACAAATTTATGCATGTGGCTATAAATATCATTAGGCTTCCTCTCTTCTTCATCTTCATTAATTTGCTAGAATTTTGCTATATTAAAAATAGTACAACATTATACAAAAAATATGTACCTGCTCATTTGGATTACATTTGGGTTACAATCAATTCTAGTTTGTTATTCTCATTATCGGTATTGGTTTTTGGTGTTTGCCTTAATATCCAGTTTTCTCTACTTCGATCACTGCCAGCGACGTAAGCAAATAGAAAGTCTTTTTTTTAAGTAAATTGATTAGTGCTCTCTTGTAGTTTAGTGTTCAGTGCAGTGTGTGGAAACACTGATGGTCTTTCTTGCTAATCGCTAGTAAGTAGTGCCGCCATTTGCCATTTGGTCAGAGTTAATGAAAATGTCACTAGTTGGACTTGTGTCGATAGTGTATGTTAAGTGACTAGAACTAGTTGTCGAGGAGGCTCCTATTCGGTAATAGTAGTTGTAGTAGTATTAGTAGTATTAGTATTTGTAGTAGATGGCTAAGAGGGATTGCGTTTCTTGTTGGCTAAAACCTTTAGATTTTTTCCTAAAACTTACACATGTATTAAATTAACAATGGTATTCGGCAGATGGAGAGACAATATCGAATTTGGACTATGGGAAAACACGATTTAGACTCTATCATCTTTAGCCCATAATCGATTCCGAATTTCCGCTTTGATATTATGGGGTGGATTAAGTACAGCTTTAACAAACAACAACAATGACTTAAGTTTTACATAGAATGATGTAATAATAAATATAATCGTATTCTTTTAGAAGGTAAATTAAGTATATATGGCATAACAATAAATGATCTCGTTACAGTTACAAGATTGCTGAGCCGTGGCAGCCTTTCTGTATTTACAATTCATATATGAATGGAGATAATAATCGTAAAAATGGGTTTTCTTTTCTTTTCTTTTCTTTTGTTTGTATATAAGCCTGACTTAAACCTAGTTAAACATTAAAATTTTACTTTTAGTATTAACATAAATTTTACACAAGAAATATTTATATATAGCGCCTAGCACATTCATACATATAAATCAATTTCATAAGTTTACATATAAAAACTGCATCTACAGCATCCTTCGATAGCATCATAATATCTGTTAGCTCTGTCCTCTGCCCTTCTGTAACTTTACGAACTTTGCTAAAAATCTCAACGCCAATGCAAATAACAAAGCCAACGACAAAGTTAAAGCAATGTGGTTGCCAGCTTCTTAAACCCGAATGACATCGTAGGCTTCCAGTATGCAGATGACCACGTAGAAGACCCAGAGGAAAACTAGGATCGCTGCGCTGATGTATTTGGAGACCTTCGGACCGCCCAGCTCAGCGCCAATGCCCTTGTGCCAGCGCCGGAACATGATGAGGAAAACGGCAATCAGGGCTTCGCCGCAGAAGAGCGCCACAGCAAATCCAATCCTGAAATGCAAAACAAGATTTGGAATTTGAATTTAATTGATTAAACTAAAAATTAAATATTTTACGTTCTAGAAGTGATTACTTACGTTCCCGGTTCTACTTTGAAGATCCCGCCATGGGAGCTGTGGTAGACTGCGGCAATGGTCCAGGCCAAGCCAATGCCCAGGAACACGTTGACCGCATTGCTGCCCGTAACATTGCCGATACAATTATCGGCCCCCTCATCATGCTTCGCTGCTATCATGCTGGCGAATGTGTCTGAGGGGCAGGAGGAGTTTGAAATTAAAGATGGGATACTTAAGCAAGGGTATCAAATCGCTCACCTGGTATACTGGTGCCCAGGGCTACAAACAGGATGGCCGTTACCGAGTCCTTGATGTTGAGAGCGCAACCGAAATAGGAGGCGGCATCTCCGATGATGGCGGTGATGACGCCAATCACGAATATGGACACCACAAAGGTCACATAGCCGCCGCACATGTCTGGGGGTGTGAAAGTGGTTAAGGATTGATCAACTAAAACTGCGTAGGATGTTTACCAGTGGGCGGCACAAATGCAAACAGAACCTTCCAGAAGAGGCAGACGAAGTGGCTCACGTAGCTGAAGCAGCTGGGCACCTCCTCCTCCTCATCGTCGTTATCAAATTCACTTTCATCGGCTGCAAGTGTTTGGTTTGAATCATGAAAAAGGAATCGATTGAAATTGAAAAAAGAAGAAATAGTCTACCTGGGATAACGGTGAGGGCATCTTTGAATTGTTCCTTCCAGGACGAAGTGCCAAGGACGGCAGAAACGTTCGCTTTTGCCACCAGTTTGTCGACTGTAGCCTGTAAATATTTGAAAGAAATTGATAAGAAACTAAAGAAAGCTCTTAGAACACTCTCAACTCCATAAAAAAACCTAGCAACAGACAACCCATCTAAAAAGGCAAAGTCAAAATACCAGATTGATGGCCAACTTCTCCGAGCTCATATTACGTATACGCCACCGACAGACAATGAACACAAGCCCGTAAAACACACACAGACGGCAAGCAAACAGAGCACTCAACGTGTCATTTAGAGATTTGCACACAATTAGGTGCTTATTTGCCATGCACCTGAGCGGTTAACAGTAACTCGATCTGGCGCTTGGATAAGAATGGTTTTCCACCTGGGAGTCATTATGGGTGTTACTGTCTAGCCCACACACACATTCACTTAGCTGCATGTAAATGTGCGCTGGGATTTTGTCTGTTTTGGTCATCAGTTTGGCCATCAAGTGAATGGAATTGCTTTTCATTAGCATTGTTGGACTATTTGGGACGTTCCTTGTGTCCGATTCAATCAAACGGAGTACTTACCTTGAATTCCTGGCTCTCACGAATGCGCACGTAGGCGGTGGTCAGTTCTCCGTTTCTCGGTTTGCTCAGCAACAGGATGCGATCCAGTTCGGTCAGATCCTGAACGTCCTTTTTTTCGACCTCCTTGATTTTGGCTGCCATTTCGTCGTCTGGCCAGGAAGTAATCAAATTATTAGTCCACCGATTTAATGGAATTGATTATAAACACCGTGTTGCATGCAACCACGCCCCCACAACAGAGTATCTTAATAGTAAATGGTATCATAGTAAAGTATAACTAGACAGACATAGGGTGTGTTGGCATACAAACGAAACGGTGATGGGAATTCGATGTTGGACAGAGATTAAAGAGCACAAAAATATATACTTGGACTGGAACAGAAACTAAGGAACCCACATACGCCCCCAATTAGTTGGAAACTAATTAGAAGCATATGGTGGTAATGGGATGCGGGCTTTAATTGAAAAGTGGGATAGGGGACAACCGAGGAGGGGGATATCACAATCGAAACTCATTGAAGTGTCAAACAATGGTGTGGTATATAAAGAAAATTCTTTTTTAAATTTATAAACTTTTTTTGGGTTTTGCGTTACTGCGACTCCAATGAGTTTGCGAAAATGTTTATGGTAAAGTGCCATCAGGATGCAATTGAGCGGAAAATGGAAATTGATAAACTGCATATTAAGCAGAGACAGAGAGAAAACAGAGCACAGAACACAGATTGACAGAACCAGGCATGCAAAAAGGTCACAGCTTGACATTAGGTCCCCAAGATATTGATGACTCACGAGTGGGATCTCCGGAGTGTTCGTGTTTTTCTATAGACATCAAGACATTCGACAATCGACAATCGCGACCATGATAAGTACGTGGATGGGGTGATTTTTTTGGGGTAAAGTTCAGAGAATCGTTGTTAAATGGTCTCAAACATGTCGGATATTGCTTCAACAATCACTTTCTAAATATTCAGTTAACGAATATGCGATGACTGTGGTGATTTTGTCACTGAACATGGCTACATTTTGGATGTTCTTTAATCGGGTTTGTTATTATTTATTAAGAACATTTAGCTTTGGTTTTTAATCATTGGATCAAAGCACGTACACATATATAATATAAAGATAATACTTGAGAGCAGAACAACACAAAACTGAATACATCGACATGGTCTTAAACTTAGATCAGAAGCCGTTCACAATGAAGTTATAATTGCCTTAAGTCTAGAACATCACACAGATAATACACGGTAAAAACGATTAAAAAAAGAAAAGAACACAAATTACGGAAAACAAAAAGCCAAATATCCAAATATCTGGATTTACTCATCAGCGATAACGTGTATTACTTACAAATCGATTTGGCGATGCAGAGGCATGTTTAATTGGTACCGATGATATCGGTTCGATGCGAGATCAAAGATCGGGATCGGATCGAATTCGAGCAGCAAGTCGGGGCGGGCACAGGCACACAACAATGTGAGAGGAGCGGGCACAAGCGCGTATTACAAATGTCCGCCGAGCATAGAGATAACCAAAACATTACCAAAAACTGTGACCCTGGTCTAACTTTATTTCAATTGAAGACGAACCCGATATTTCGGTACTTGCTTGCTTGTTTTGCATATTGTTTTTTTGTAGTAGTATTACTTTACAGAAAGCTTGAAGCTTGCATTTATCAAGTGCGTGGCTGCTGCGTCGAAAAAAGCGCAATTGTTTTGGGATAAATGCAGATGCAGATGCATACACACACACACACACATAGATACTCGTTGCCTAAACATTTAGATACATTAACGAATACGACACTAATAATATTATGTATACGGCGTGTGGGTTAATGGCCAATCGAACTAACAAAACAATAAGAAGACACATGAAATGATAGTGCCCGACCGTTTACTTTCGACTTTCTTCATCGTTCACCTTCTTTCTTTCTTTTTTTTGGCATATTCATTATTAACTGAACACTTGAAATGGTCGATCGATCCCGCAATATGCAAAGATATGGCAAAAAAAAGACGTTTACATACCAAAAAATCGATTGAAAAATGATTCCTTATTAGTGTCATCTGCGTGAGGATTGAACATGTGTCATTTGGCATTTACGGAGGCGAGTGGTTCGATTGGATTAGAGAGACAAGTATGGACAATGGAAATGTTTAGTCTAGTTTATGTTATGGCCACAAGCAAATGTCTATGGTTAGTACTTCGGGATCTAAGGAAGTGGGATGTGCTGGGGTTTATGGAGGAGGGGGATCTAAAACCTAATCGATCTCAGGTGGGCTAGCATTCGACATGGGGCTATAGATAGAGATGCGAGTGATTTATTTATATCGCTAACTTCCATGAGTTATTACATACAGAACATAAAAGTTATCACTTTCCTGCCCATTGCCAATAAATATAAATATAAGTATATATATATATATATATATATAAACAAGTACATACAGAAAGGAGAATGGGAAATGAATTTAAAAACAGAAAACATAAACAGGAAGTGGTATCATCTAAGGTGGAAACATACACAACATCTAAACGAAATACGCAACTTAATTATGGTCATTGCCTTTTTCTCGTGGAATGCCAGAATTTGGGTTCAAACCAAGAAAAAAAATAAATCGAAAATAATAAAATGAATTTGCACTTTTTTGCCCGCATTTTCCGCACTCGGTGAAGGAAATTAATGGAGCAGAAACTTAAGGTTACTTTCAAGAAACCGAAACCGAAACCGAACCCCGAAAGTGTTGACCAATCGCAATTGGAATTTGACTTTTCCCATTCATTTTTCGTTTCGCGTTTCAGCGCTTTCGTGTTCAATTAAAATAAAATTAATTAATGCACAATTCAAGGCTTACGGTAGTGAGTGGAATCTAGAAGCATAAAGAACACAAATTAAAAAGACCAAAAAGTATAAAAGAACCCATGAGTAGTCGATAGGATGCGAAAAGACATACGAAACCGGGTAACAATTTCGTTCAATTCAAATTGGAATTTCCAATTTACAAAGTTTTCGTGTTTTCTTTTTTGTTTTATTTCAGCTGGGCTTTTCCACCTGTTTGTAATATTTTTTTTTTTTGGGGTCAAAGTGAAAGAGTCCAAGTGGGTCTCTTTTGGGATACTTTTTTGAGGGTGTGTGGGTGTGGGTTATGGGATAGGGGTAAGAAATTGGGGTAAAAAGGTGCTGAAGTGTTGGTGTCCCAAGTGTCGCAGGTTGAACTTCTGACCAGGACAGATAAGAACTTGTGCCGTCTTCGGTGCACTGATAGCTGGGCTGCTTTCACGTAATTTGGTTAGCATATTCAATGGGATTTGGTTTGGATGGTATTCATGGGAGTTTTGGATAAGGGTCCAGGGGTTTTTCTTGGGTTCTGGTGTATTTTTCTGCTGCAGTGTGACCAAAACTCACCTGGCGCCAACCGAGGTTCTCCGATGTGCACCTTGAAGCTGACGTCCTTCTCATAGCTGCTCTCCTCCAGGATGTACAGATCGATGACTTTTCTGCAAGGGATTAAGGTGCAGGGGTTAGTGCTTATCCAGGACTGTAAAAGAGGCGGGGCTTGTGAGGTGTGAAGTGGCCAATGGACTGCATATAAGCCAAGAGCTTTGGGCCGTTTGATTAATGCCATTTCGCCTTGGCTAAAATGGCCATAATCTTGACACTCGAAACGGAGCTCCAAATTTATTAGCCAGCATTAAGTGCGCAGCTTTCTGCTGCGACATTATTGCCAACCCGCCCCGCTCACTTAAACTGAATGCCTTTTCGGTGTGTTGTGTAAACAAAAAAAAAAAAAATCATGTATATTACGTATACGCCCGGTGGGCCTTGTGCGAAAATAAATATTTGCATTATTCATGTGCTTAAGAGTGACTGACTCAATTTATAATTGCTTCAAAGAATTTATTATTATTTTTAGCCATAAAATCGACCATTTGTTTGCTTTCGATGCGAATGCCCAAACACTAATTGGCCCAGCGATAGCGATAAGTTTAAGTGGCCAAACACGATGGTTGACTTTAAGATTTCTGTGTATTCAACAGTTGCAGCTCTAAGCTGGCTGCCACTCATTTTCTTTTGGCTAATTTCCTTGCTGCCAAGTGCAAACCAAGGTCAGACCACCCACAACCTCCTCCTTCTCGTTCTTATTCCTTTTGCCCCGCTCAACTTTAACCTTTCCGGCGGTTGGCAGCTGCCTTTCTTCCATTCCAATGCCTTTGCATTTCTCAGCTTGATATTAAAAAGGAAAACCACCGGGCGAAAACAGTCACCTGTTTATGACCCGTTTTTTATGGCTCCAAATAAATGTGAAATGTGGCGGACCCACCCACTTCCTCATTTTAACTGGTTATACTGGCCCCCATCAAATCATTCACGTGCCTCCGCCAGATTTTCCAGCTTGATTACGTGATGGGCAATAGCCCAATGGCTTTCCTGAGCATTTCATTGAATCCGCCGATGACCCACACGCTCGGCAACAAGTCCCACTACTCACGTGCCCACCTACTATATGGCTTATATGAGGCGAAGCACCCCCTTCGACAATAAATCTATAAAATTTGTCGCTGGCCATCGTAAATAAAAGCACGCCTTGGACTAAGGGAATTAGGTGGCGTATTAGATTTGATGCGATTTGGCATTTATGGGATCTACACGTCTCCGCCTTATCGTATCTTATCGCAAAATCGATTCGAATCGAATCTCTCCATAGGCCAAAGTCGGAGTAACCACCGACCAGGGTCAGTCTTGAGCAAGATGTCCCGCTGGCTGAACGCACTTCTGATCGCCATCGCTCTGCTGGCCCAACCTAGTTGGTCGGCCCCGGAATGTGGCCGTACTCCGGAGCAATGCAAGGAGCACAGGATGCATCCGGATATGCCGGAACCGGAGCGAAATGGAAAGGCATTCCGGGTGGTTGAGGGCGAGGAGACCAACGCCTATTGGCGCGAACAGGGCGTTCAGTTTGTTCAGCAAAAGTTGGCTACCGAGCTGAATAAGCGCCAGGCCAAGAACGTGATCCTTTTCCTGGGTGACGGAATGGGTGTGACCACCACTTCAGCGGCTCGCAATCTTTTGGGTGGAGAGGAAAAGTCCCTGTCCTTCGAGAACTTCCCCTACACGGGACTCTCGAAGACCTATTCCGTGGATAAGATTGTTCCGGACTCGGCGTGCACGGCAACCGCCTATTTGTGTGGCGTGAAAGGTCAGGAGGGTACCATCGGCGTGAATGGTCAAGTTCCCCGCACCGACTGCAAGGTCATGTTGGACGAGAGCACCCACGTCGACTCAATTGCCAAGTGGGCCCTGGACGCAGGCAAGTGGGCAGGTCTGGTGACCACCACCCGCGTGACCCATGCCTCCCCCTCCGGTGTTTACGCCCACATTGCGGAACGCGACTGGGAAAACGATGCCGAGGTTGCTAGCGATTGTGGATCTAACTCCGGCATCCAGGACATTGCCTATCAGTTGGCCCGCGGCGAGGTGGGCAGCAAACTAAAAGTGATCATGGGCGGTGGACGAAAGCACTTTGTGGACTCCAGCCTGGCATCCTATGGTCAGCGTACCGACGGTCTAAACCTTATCGATGAGTTCAAGGCAGCCAGCGCTAAGAATGTCTATGTAACGACCGCTGCGGAACTGGAGGCAGTGGATTTGACCACTACCGATCGTCTCCTCGGTCTTTTCAACGATGATCACCTGCAGTACCTGATGAAAACTACGCCGGAGAGTAACCAACCCACTCTAGAGCAGATGACCCGCAAGGCCATCGAGTACATGAGCCAGAGTGATCAGGGTTACTTCCTCTTCATTGAGGGCGGTCGCATCGACCAAGCTCATCACGATAATAAAGCCCGAATGGCTCTAAATGAAACCATTGAGTTCTCCAAAGCCATTGCAGCTGCCCAGGAGCTGACCAGCGAGGATGACACTCTGCTGGTGGTCACCGCTGATCACTCGCATGTCTTCACCTACGCAGGATACTCGGTAAGTGGCGGACCTACTTAGCTTAAGGACAAGAATGTTTGCTATTATTATATAGATAACACACAAAAACTTGTAGCTATATAATAATAATCACACATTGTCATAAATTGTGTCATAGATTAGAACTGTGATTATCGAATGATTATTTTGGGTCGTAAAATAGATTTAATAATATTTTTCAGGAAACCTGATTTCTCAGAAACCATATTTCATTTAATTAATTTATTTATTTATAATATGGCTTAGCTCTATAACGTTTAAGTTACGAGTTACTAGTTGCACTAATCACATTATAAAGATTCAAGCCTTGAGATTAGAAAGCTAATAAGTCTCTAACATGTAAACTAACTATAAACCTTTAACTAACAAAAACTATAAACTTAAATATTTGTTATAATTTTTAGTACCGCGGTGCAGATATATTTGGAACGACTCCAACGAATGGACACGATGGCAAACCCCAAATGGCTTTGAGCTACGCCAACGGACCGAGCTTCGAGAACTTTTACGATGCGGAAACTAAGGAACGCAAGGATCCCACCACATTGGTGACTGGATCGCAGGACGATGAGTTTCCCTCAGGAGTGCCAATCGACTTGGACTCCCACGGAGGTGACGATGTTCCCGTGTATGCTCTAGGTCCATGGGCGCACCTGTTTACCGGAGTCTACGAGCAGAACACTATTCCCCACCTGATGGCCTACGCATCGTGTTTAGGCGAGGGCCAGACCATGTGCAAGTAGAAGCTACTAGAAGAGCTAGAGAGGATGCCATGCCGCCTGGCCATTACAATTAAGTTTGAAGCTCATTAAATCCAGCCAGCAAGCGGCATTTGCATTCGCCTGCACTCGAGTTTATTATGCGAACGCAAATTGCAAATTGAATTAAAGCGACTTTCCAGGGAAATTCTTAACTGGGTTACTCGGGCCCGAGTTCTCCCTTTTCGTGTCGGTGGCTTCCTTTCCTTCCCATCAACGCCCTCGTAATTCACAGTTTGAAACTCATCAGGGGCTTTGATGTGAGAGTTGCTCCTTGCTATTTGCTCCTTGCTACTTGCCCGACTTCTTGGCACTGGGACTGGGATTGTTGGATTGGGTTCCCTTGCGTGCGCACGCCAAAACTTTCGGAGCCCTTGGAAATGTGCAAATTGCCACGTTTTGGGTCGTGCTGTGATGCCATTAGACAGATTAGCGGGCAGACTCCGTGTAGTGAGAGTTTTGTAATTGCATATTTGCAATACCAATTTTCTTCGTACCCCATCAAAAGGGTAATTAAAATCATTAAAAGACATGCGTCATCGCGGCGACGATGACTAATTTGAAAAATTGCACGCAAATTGCCAGCCTAAAAAGGATTCCAATAACTCTGCGGCGCATTTGTGCAAAAGCGTTTCCACCTCCATTTCCGATACGATTGAACGCCAAATTATATCCGCCGCCCACAAAATGGCAAATCGAATGTATGCAAGTGTATGGGTGTAGAACTCATTTCCCCTTATATGACAGCTATTAAAACCAACAACGAACCTCAGAACTCGAGAGCACAGGGCCTCCACCGTTCGGCTGCCCTGGCATTCAATGCTAATTTTGTTGTATTCCGCCGATGCCTGAAACACTTCCGCCGTTTGATTTCAATGGCAACGACCACGTGGTTGTCGCCCATTGTTACCCACACCCCGTACCTAATCCATTCCAGTATACGACACCCCTATTGATTTTGCGAAACTATCAAGTGGGCTTCTGACCAGAAGCAGACAAGTTGGCCAACGAAAGAGACATGGTCAAAGACAGCTGTTGTAGGCCTAACCGGAAGGCCGGACTCTTTGCCTGCGGTCATGTCATTCCGGTCTGGTCTGGTTTTTGCGGTGACCGCTTGCACTTGGCCAACAAGTGCGGTTCGAGGAGGTCATTATCACATGTTGGAATATTTGTAGGAATAAGATTTGTTATTTAAAATGATAATGAAAACTTTCTAAACCCCTTTTTTCTTGTCTTTATGGTAAGTAAGTTATAGTTAAAGCTGCCAAAAATCCCTTGTATTTCTCATTTTAGAGCCACTTTTTAGCAACTATAATGGTAAAACCTACAGTACAATGAGAATATAGGATTACAATCAAACTTTAGCTTTCCAATAAAGCTAAAAGGCATTGTGCTGAATGTATTGTTAAATTTAAGTCATTTGCTGCGAACCCACAACGAGCTTTAATTAGAACGAAAACAATTAAGATCCTGAAGAGAACAATGCATAGATTATGGAACCATGAATACAACATGGTAAAAGTTAAACAAAGGGAGTGCGAATCAAAATCCCACTCGACCAAGACCCAAGACCAAGTCCAAAATCAGCAAATTTGGTTGGATGAGCTTGTAAGCCGACGATTACAGTCCGCACCTCCGCATTCCGGATCTGTTTCAGCATCCGGCAGCTACCGCATGTCCCACACACACAACGCCTTAACGTCTCAACTGATTGATGCCAGAGCTCAGGCTAATAATCCGGCCAAGAGGACCTCTGTCCCGTCCATACGATTTCACGGCTACTGCTAAGCGCCTCAATTACCTGGCCGAGCTTTGCCAGTAGCTACTCCTGTTTGGCATGCAAACTCACTGACTGACTGTCCCCTATCTCTTCCAATCCCCTGAAATACCCGTATGGTCAAGCACACATAATAGCATTACTTAGTCAACGCAAGGGCGAGGCCACCCTCGGAAGACTGGGAATGGAAATGGGAAAATGGCAGAGGTAGAGGTGGGTGGAGGGCGGTGAAACTTGTGCTTGAAAATAAAATTAAAGAAAAATACAGCAATTTGCATAGCAATGAGCGGTGCACAAGGTGGGAGATGGAGGATGGGACATGGCTTTGGGCGGGACTAACCATTAAACCCCAATTGCCAACTCTGGAAAACTTTTACCTTTGCTTGCCCGTATCCTATCTCTGCCCCACTTGGCAATCCCAGCAGAACCACCCATGGGTTGCGGGCAGAAAACGTCGCTTTTGGTTGCAAGTTTTTCAAATGACGTTGCGGCTGCATATCATATTATTGGGGACGCAGTGTGGCTTTTGAGGTTTTGAATTTTAAATTCAAATTCAAGGCAAAATATCCAAGTCACCTGGGTGCGGTATTCATTTCACCAACCATTGCAAAACTAACTACAAAAAGAAAAACAAGCTTCGAGTAAAGTGACTGAGCGGAAAATCCTTGGGCAGAAAAGAAGGCCGGCGGGCTTAGTGGGCTATTGGTGTTGATTGCAATATGCATCCATTAGATTGTCAGGCAGGCTCCCGGCCAGACGGTCAATTAATAATGCTCTCTATCGATAATTATTAATGTGTTTGCCAGGCGTCGTTTTAATGGAATTTCCAGGAAAAACTGCAGGATGTGCGGGCGGAAATTCGGACAAGAAATTTCAGCGTCAGATTGATTGCCACTTCGGGGAATTCAATTAAGTGTAACTGCCCGCCGCCCTTGAGTTGCAGCAGTCCGTTCGAAATTAAAGGGGAATTAAGTGACCATAAACTGTTTGACACGTGGAAATTATCGCAACGTTTTTTCAAGTTGAAAAACAACATTTCCCTGGAGTTTTTCCACTCTCAACAGGTGGACTCGGTGGTCAATTACGGCGGGTTTAACAGAATTTGATCAGAATCTTTATTAATATTCAGATGGCTTCATGAAAATATCACGTTATTCGTAACCGCAAGCATTTTCGTGATGGAAAAATCTGAATTTATTTTTATTTTCATAAACTCCAACAGAAACGCATTCTCTTATTTCTCAAATTTAATGGCTTTTAAAAATAAGTAAAATAATTGAATACTTATATTAATTTAATTTATGCGAATGAAATGTAAAATCATCAAGGACTGGTAAAATTATGTAAATGACAACACACTGCATTCTACTCAAGCTTCTGGTCCATTAACTCCATAATTGTGCATCTCAAACATGCATACTTATCAGACGAGTGATTTCAAGTGGCATGCCACTGCATGTGAGTTATCGAGTGGTGCAGATACTGAAGTGAAAGCAATCACCTCGGCGAAGGTTCAAAGGTCAAGGGTAGTAATTTAATAAATTGAAAACGAAATTGTGTTTATTCTCCGAAAAGTTGATCAGAAGAGGGTCATGTCTTAGTCCTTGCTGTTCATTGGTCTATCAGGCTGTCAAATATTGACGAAGTAAACGCGAGATTCATTTAAAATTTATCGAAAATATCTGAGAGCTCCGTTGGTATTTTGTCCGTTTTCAGTGTTTTCAGTCTTGGCCGAATGGGCGAAGGTTCGTAATGAGTTATATGGACTTTAGACTGGCAGTTAAATTGACCCTAATTTGAACAGTCTATCAAAACGTCAAGTTTGACTAACTTGCGCAAACATTTCATCGAGTTAAAAGAGGCTAAAATCAAAGCTTCATAAATTGACCAACTAATTTAGTTTAAAAGCTTAAGTCATAATTATATAACTTTTAGCAGTTCATTTAGAGTCCTTAAAATTAGCTAAAAATGCAGTTTTTTTTATATTAATGTCCCTATTAACCCTTCAGCACAGCAATTAAAATTTTCCCATTATTTTACTGACACCTTAATTGCCTTTAAAAAACAATATTCATACTGACCAAAACGTGGCTTACTTATCTTTGGCCTGTCACTTGGAATCTAAGGGGACGACCGATCTGAACATTCAGATAGCGCCAAATTGAATGCATGTTCGACAAATGAGCGTGACCGAAGTGCAGAACAAAGAGTTGCCTTTGCCTTTGAGCGGGTGTCGCCGCAAAGACAACAAATTACACTTGTTGAGGCGCGAAATTAACAACAACACTATCTCTGGCCCGACAATCGTATCGGGTAAATAATAACCCGCCAGCTAAATGCGGGCTACGCGAGCCATGTCACATGCAGGTGCTATGGGTGGTGCTGTGGGTGGTGTTGTAGGTCGGTGAGTTTCACTCTCAGGGGGATAGACTCTGAGGGAGACAAAGGGAGGGGAACACACTGCACCCCCTCGGCCAAGTCACGTGCCGTATGTCCTAGTTCCATGTCGTGTTGGATAACTAAATAATTCCATGTTGCGCTTCTTTGTTCTCAACTTAAACTGAACAATATTCAGCGACACTTGGAAAAATATTCAGCGGAATGTGGAAATACTATGAAATGAAAGGGAAATATATCTATTTTTTGAAGAATGAATTTTAAATGACTATATTGTTCTTTTTATTTATTATTAAAGCCCACAGTTATGGTTGATTTTCTTGTCTTTAAAATATCGTAGTGAAGCCGAATTCCCCCTTTCTTGTGCCAAATATGGTAGGAAACCTTCATCTTCAAAGTCTTGCTTTTCATTTTAAGCCTAAAAACCTCAAACTGTACACAAAGTCCAGATAAAGATAACAATTTCCAACCGTAAATTGATTTTCCAACTTTCTCACAAGCTAATTGAATCAATCTCGGAAATGGTCACCAGAAAGATTTCAGAAATTAATTCTCTGGTTGTTATTTCGCCGCATTTTCTTTTGACAAGGATCTGACGAAATGCGGCTGACCATGACAAAAGTTTCCGCACAGTAAATAAACGTGAGATGTTTTTCTGGAATTTTAAATTACCGTTTAATTGGCCACAGCCCCACAAGTTTTTCCCCCTATTGTCGGCACGTGTGGTTGTGCTGAGATTTCGCCGTAAAACCACTGAACAAACTCACATCTCGTATTTATTTTTTTGTTTTGTTTTTGTTTTTGTGTTTTTGGTTGTGTTCATGTTTTTGTTTAGACAATTCCGCTTTTCTGTTGGTCCAGCCATGTCGTATGAGTAATAATTCATTCATTAAAAGGCCGTAAACACAGAGCGCTTGGGGGAAAATATTCGGCG